GTCGGCAATGCGCAGCACCTTCTCCAGAGCTTGCGATTGGTCACCGGTCGCCACGGCGTGGATGGAGTCTGACCCCCGCCTTCGCGGCCTAATCGGCTTGAGCGTCACCTCTCCGACGACGCATCTCGCTCTCTCGGACCCCCAGCTCCTCGAGGGATCGATGGGCCTTGACTTTTTGCACAGAATTGATATGGTGTAAAGCCCGTTGGCCGCGCAGGAGGAATCCTGCATATGGCCGCTGATAATTCAGCTGGTCACCCAGGGGTCGGTTAACCTGTACAAAACCATTCGAACAGTCAGTATAAACGTCACGCGGGCCCTCTACGACCTGGCTCGATCACCCGAAAGCCGCGACCTCGCCCGCCTGAGACGTTTGCGGCAAGCCCGCGTAAATCGTGCCAAGAGCTCGTCCTAGGAACCTGAAAGCCCGATCGAAAATCGCAAGACCCCAGGCCGCCTTGTTCAGTTCTGGCACGTCACACCTGGTACAACTTCCATCCAGGAACAGCCCCCCCCCCATCACCGTGCTCTCCTCTCCCGTCGCACCTTCCCCCATTGCCACGCGGTCTTGCACTCCTCGTCGGGCCTGGGCCAGAAGTCGCCAGGGTGGGGAGGAATACCACGCGTGAGGAGGAGGAGGTCCTGGGGGTTGTCGGTGTCCATTTCGTCCACATATTGCGTACACCTTTCGGCAACAATCTCAGCCCGCTCGTCCGCGCAGGCCTGGCAATGCCAGACGCGGTACAGAAGTGTGTCTGGCCCTTGTCCGCACATGGGGCACGCGACCGACTCTAACTGATATCCAAGACACCGAGCCCGCACTCTTGTCCAACTGGCATCGCATCTGATGATGCGTACCGCCGCTGTGCCCGAAGGGGGGACTTTACTAGAACTCAGGGCCCCCTTGAGCACGTCGTAACATAACCAACCTGGGGACCTCCAAAGCAGATTCTTGCGCCGCCAATCTCTCCAGGCTCCGAAGAACCGCGCGCCTAAGCAGTATCTTCAGAAGCCCAGGGCTAACCTCCGTCAAAATCATCAGCTCCCCGACATCGTTTTCCAAGGTGGCCCAATCGAGGAAGGCGCCGTGACATCTCTCTAGGAGGACGGGGGCGGCTTCGAAGAGAAAATCAGCCGCGCTTCTCGGAGCTCCGCGAAGCTGAAACACCGCCGATACGCACCTGATTGGGCACGCCAGAGTTCTTTGGCGTACCTGGCTACGGGAGCAACCGCCGCAGGCCACGTGGGCTCGCCCTCCATGATGAGGAGGCGTGTGAGCGACCTTCCTTTACAGCTTGGCCCCATAACGGAGCCAGCTTGCTGTCTGATACGGCGCAACTCCCCATCCGAGATACCGTGGACCTCGGACCCGTACAACGCACCAGGGAGGGGCCCAGAAACCCAACTTCTTGGCATGGGAAGCGATCTGTTTTTCCATAGCCCTCACCTTTCTCGTCTTGGCCTTCAAGGTGGTCAAAGTGATTTTGAACTTTGACTCGCGGACGGCCTTCTTAACGCAAGCTTTCCGCCGCGACCTGCCGCAGTGAAATCGATGCCCAGGTCGACCACGCTGTCGGCCAGAGGCCCAGCACGGCCCCCTAGAAAAAGCTGGAGCTGCCTGGCCACCACAACGTCCGAGCACAGCAGGTTGCCCTGGCTCGCCTTGGACAGGGAGATCGAGCAGCCGCACTCGGTGACTAGGGCCTGCTCCAATTTCTTGAAACCTTCCTTGATACCCAAGAACACATCCCTCGAGGTCCCCGCGGCACCCAGACCCGAGTCATCAATGAACTGCGCCAGGAAAACGCCCCTGGGAAGTTTCAGCTCACTACGCGGCCCCAGGAGATACACCCTCACCAGAGAGGTGGCCATGGAGCAGCCAGCCACCACGCCACGGCTGGCAAAGAAGGGCCCCGCGACGGCCGTAGACATGCTAACGAATCGCCCACGCCTGTAAGCAAAGAGACACAACTGCGTGATGGGGTGGGGAAGCCGAATTTCTTGGACTCCTCGACCACACGTTGGAGGGGCAAATTCCCGCATAATTTGGTCATATCCCACAGAAGCATCGCCGAGACCTCCCCTTTCTCCGTGCTGAGCTCCGCGCGGCCAGCCTGTCGCCAAACCGCGTCGGTCGCCGACGCAAAGGAGCTGCCAGATCAGTGAATCCCAACATTCCTAGCCTTCCACTCCGCCGCCAGCTCACGTCTGCATTTTCCCCCAAGCCTAAACATGGAAACAAACAACCCGATAGGTCTGTATCCCCCCGAAGCTTCGGATAGGAGCACCACCTGTATGATCTGGAGCTGGCGCGGCAGGCTGGAGAGAGATTCGCAGATCGCGAAGAAGAGGCTCACCACCTGCAGAAAGGACTCGGAGAGCCACGCGAAGTGCCTCAGGTGAAATCCGTCTACCGCCTGTGCCGTAAACATCTTGAAGGCAGCCGAGACAGACCTAATGCGTTCGACAGAAACCATCGGGAGGGGCTGACAGGTACCTTCAAAAACATGCGCTCCGGAGCATCCGAGGTGGTTTCCCAAAGTTTGGCCCACGCAGAGGCCTCGCTTTTCAACAAGCTCAGAGGGTCCGAGATCACTAAACTCCTCGCCGAGAGGGTGGTGGTGGGTTTCCAACCAGGGGCCTCTTCGGAGGCCAAGTGGGCGTTCTTCCCACCTTCGTGGATTTTCGTGAGGAGCAAGAATTTCCACCCAGCCTCACCTTCACGCCGCGCTCCCCCTTGGAGCTTAACAACATACTGCTGGGCAACTTCAGCAACGTCGTCGGCTGCCTCCAGCCACTCGCACATGCAGATTTTAAACTCTGAACACTCTTGGCACTAGATGGCAGCAGGCAGGGCGCGGACGAGAGCCTGAATCGTGCTGAGGAAAACACTCAAATAATCCTCCCTGATGTTGCTCACGAACGAGGGGGGCTCCAGAATGCAACCCTTGGTCTTGCCCGCGTCCTGAGGACCTTCTCGAACCCCAATCATCAAGTCCTGGAACCTCTGCGTGACCCACTTGCCCGCAAACAACTTCGGGTGCCTGAAGGGGGGGGGGGCTTGTCCGTGATGATGGGGGCCCAGTGCAATTGCGGTGATTTACTACGGGCACCATAGTAGGGCAGCGTAGTCTGCGCGAGGTCGCACAGCCCCTGTTCGGCAAGATTGGCCCATAACCCATAGACCCAATCCAGCATGTCCTGGGGATCCGGGGCGTTGCCCGAAAGGGCCGTCCCAAGACAACCCTCAGCAGCATCGATGACTTGACTCCAGTCAGGTGGCTCACGTCCGACCCCCATCGGCCTTCCCTTCGGGATCGGCGGCGGCATGCGAAACGTCAGCGCACAAAATTGTGAAAGACGAGGGCACTGATGGAGGTGAACAGGCTTGTGAGGCGTGAGCTGAGCAACCTGCACGATGCTCGCCTCCTTGACGCCCTTTGCCATGCCCCACGCGCAGAGGAGGAGAGAAACCAAACGCAAAAACAAATAGAAACTCAAGCTCCCCAACGATCGGCAGGTCCCCGGGCCCGTCGGTTTGATCAAAGACCCTTCCAACTTCTCAGGAAACCCCGCCTCCATAAATATCTCTGGCGCCATATTCCAGCCCCCCCCCCCAAGTGTAGCCGGATGTCCCGACATCTTCAGTGGCCCCCACGGCACTCGCAATGTCGATGTTACGACTAGCTAGACCTTCGCTGTCGAAGACACAGGCGGACATAATCAGGATAGGCGTGTCCCCTGGGAGGCGCGCTATAGCATTGACCAGGCGACCAGCATACAGCGTGGAGCCCCAAAAAGGCACATGCAAGCCCAGGAAGTCCCTCGCGAGGATCCCGATCCCGCCCGACGAACCTTCACCTTGGCCCGCCACTGCAGGAGCAAGGATGGCCTTCCACCCGCGCCGACAGCACCACGAAGTAGCTTCCTTCAAAGCAGTAGCCTTGACAATGCGGTGCTCCTGCAGGTAAATGACATGCGCCGACGCATTGCTGAGCCATTCCTTGAACGAGTTCCAACACGTGGCATTGCAGCTCTCAATGACCAGACCGAACCTTCTGGACTGGGCGGCCCTGGGGGGGCCTGCAGAAAGTCGAAAGAGCTAGCGGCCCCCATGAGACTCGGGACCCCTGGGCGACTCACAGCACGTGCAGCGCGGAAGCCGCGCAGAGGAAGGGGGGACCTGCCTCCAGCAGGCCCCTCAGACGACGACCCCGAACTCAGAGTCGTCGTCGCGCTCAACGCACAGGAATCCGACGTGTATCCCGCGCAAGGTTTGGACGAGGAAGAAGTCCTGGATGTGGCCTCCGAACGAGCTCTCTTAGCCCCACGTTGTGGATAACGTTCGTCTTGAACCTGTCCTGGAAACTGCGAGTCACCAGCAGCGGCGGCCCCTCCCCCTCCCTTGTCCCCCTTGGGGGGGGGGGGGGGGGGGGCTCTGGCCGCGTTGACGGCTGCCAGGGGTGGAGTGGGAACCGCGGGGCCACTCCGAGATGCCGATGCCCTCCGCGAGGCCGCTGCCGCCCCAGACGAAGCCGAAGCAGCCGAAGTCGTCGCCGCCGACGCGCAGGGAGAATATGGAGTATATGATGCACTGCTTCCCCATTGATGAGACTGGAGTCCAGCCTTCACCACATCGTAATACTTGAACCGAACGTGGCACCCCTTGGAAGCTCGACTCGAGCCTCCTCCTCGCTTCAAAATACCTCTCGCTATGTTGCCCCAACTCCGTGTCCGACTTTGCTTGCGTGCCAGCCGCCTCCATAGCTGCTCGGCAGCCGCCACGGCTGCCCTGGCCTCGCTCTTGAGCTTCTCGCCGTCGGACCCTGTCGCCGCTGCAGCCGATGCCGACGAAGCCGCGGCCTGGGGCGCAAGCTCTGCTGGTCCCTGATGATGAGCGCCAGGTTCCTCAGCTCCGCCCTGACCTGTCTCGGTCGCCGTCTTGCGTTTCTTGTCGAGCCTCTGCTACAGCGCCTGATGCCCAGCCTGCAGCGCTGCGCCCTCCCGGCGGATCTCGCCAAAGAAAGTGCCCGCCATCTGCTTGAACGTCTGGAGCATCTGATTCTTGCGATTCTGCGCCTCATGATATGTCTCCTGCCCCAGCTCCTCAAACCGCTGGCAGCCGAAAAGCCCGTCATCCTCCAGCACGAGGTTGTCAAACTCACCATCCATGAGTTTCGACGATGAGAGCTTGACGGGCTGCGTCGCGCCTGCAGTGGCCGCCTGCTCGGCAGCGCGCACGCCCGCCGCCGCCTCCGACGCCGCCAGCTTGCACTCGGCTCCGGCAAGATCGAGCTCCGAGACCAGCTCCGAGACCAACTGGCGCTTGGCCTCCACCTGCACCAGTAGGTTGCTGAGGACCGCATTCTCCGATTCCAATTTCCCCTTGGCCTTGCGGACTCTCGCATGGGCCCTGTTGGCTCGGAGGTGGGCTGTTTTCCTTCACTCGGCAGGCTTGTCCACCTGGTCGAGTAGCAGTTTGTACTTCTTCGCCGTGTCCTCGTCACCCGATGTTTCAGCCAACTTGACCATGGAACGCAACTCATCCTTGGACAGAGCTGGGGCTGCTGGCTGGGACTTTGCCTTGATGGCCCCACGATACTTCTCGGCCATCTCCCTGTCTCCCTTGGATTCGGCGAGTGCCGCCAAGGCCTGCATTGCGTCGATCCCGAGGTCACTGTACTGCTTGCCGCCAGCGTTGCCTAGCACCGCGAGGCTGCCGATCCCCGAGCCCACGGCGGCTTGGTGGTGCCGCCGTCGCGCTCCTTGCCGCAGTGCTTGCACCAGCGCCAATGAGCCCGGTTCTTCGCACATCGGCAGTCTGGCTGAGAGCAACGCCATAGCTCTCCGCCCTGGGATCGGCTGCTGGCTGACGGCGCTCACGACGACGACCAGGGTGGAGGCCATGCGCGCGGCCCACCCGGGCCGCCATCGCCAGCGCCCATGCTGGCGAGGTGACCGTCGCCGTGGTGATGTCGCAGCAATTCGCGAGCTCGGTGGGCTGCGAAGACCTGGCGGGCGCTGGCCCGTCGCCTCCGCAATCGCCGATGCCAGGCGGGCGAGGGCGGCCTATCGCGGCGGCCTGCGCCCGTCGCGTCGCCCTCCGCCCCATGGGCAGAAGGCTGGGGGTTCAGACAAAACGGGCCCCCTGTGGCCCGCGGGTCTGAGCCAAAACCTTCGTCGACTCGCGTCCTGCACAGAAGAAACTGCCCAAATGAAAGGGGGGGCGGCGCGCTGCTACCAGGCAGGCGAGCCCGCCCGGAGCAGCGAGGCTGAGAGTACAAGTGGTGAAACGAATCAGAAGAGGAGGAGGAGGAGGGGGAGGGGGAGGCGGGCGCCGACAAGAGGGTCGTCCGCGGGAACGAACAGCACTAAGCTAGGACGGGAAGGCGCGCGGGAGACAGCAGGGCGCGCCTGGCGCGAGCTCGCTGCACTTCGCGCGCAGGAGGCGGCCGCCAGTGGCGGCGGCGGGCGACGACAGCAGCGCCGACGCCAAATAACAAAACGAGTTTTCGACACCCCCCCCGGCCGCCCCGCCCGAGCCCCCCCCGCCTCCGACGAAGCGGCCTCCTCCGCGCGGAGGGGCCTCGGCACAGGGCTGCGAGTGGGGCGGGGAGGGGCCTTCGAGGAGGAGGCTGCGGGGCCAGGCTCCTCGAACCTCTCGCCCGTGGTAGGATGGAGGCCTCTCGAGGCCTTCGAGAGCTTCCGCAACTGCTTTTCCCTCGTTGACGGCACTTTGGGCGCCCCTTGACACGTGGCCAGGAGCAACCGAGGAACGCCGTGCGGGAGCACCACAAAACCAACACATAAAGAGCATATCATGACACGACCGTACCTCTCAATCGTGCGACCGAGCTCAGCAAATTCACGGATGGCCGCCTCGCCCTCATCTCCCGCGGAGTTTCCAGGGGGAGGGGGGCGGGGGCAGGCCAGCTGCCACAAGGGCCTGGCCTGCCTCAGCCACAGCGGCAGCCTTTACACGCATCGCCCGACTACGAACGCGGAGCCACTCCTGGCCCTCCAAGGCCGCGAGGGCGGTTGGTCTGAACAACTTCGAGGGGCCGTTGCGCTAGCGCGCTGGGGGTCCAAGCCCCAGCAAAGCATGACGCGCAACGTGCCTCGCCCGAGGCATCGTCGAGGTGAAAGGCGTGCCCATGTAGACTGAGCCTCGGGGGGGGGGGGGGGGGGGGGGGGGCTGCGGCCGAGACGCGTTCGGAGGAGGCGGGATGTCCGTCCAGCGTCTTAGCCTCGCGAGCCCGGCCGCGGCCCAAGAAATAAACTCGATCGTGGAACGATGAAATTTAAGCTCCCCCGCGACCGCCTCAACCGTAGCCCGAGCGATCACCGCGCGGGTAGAAGCCAACTTCGCAAACATATCGGCCCATGCGTTGCCGATCCACGCGATCGGATCCAGCCTTCTCTCCAGGACCTGCTCCAAAGTGAGATGAGCGCGGGTCCACGCGAACGTGGGGGGAGGGTACTCAGGAGGCCTGTGCGTGGCCAGCGAAAACGCACTTCTCCAGATGGCAGCATACTTCTTCATGCCGCACGCCAACTCAGCATCCCATGATTGGCCCTCTTGAGCCAGGGGCAACAAATCCGAGACAAAAACCTGCAGGGACGGGTGCCTTTTCATTGCATGCAGAAGCGCGGTTCTCGCCGCTCCACCTACAGTCTGGACCGCCCCCCCCCCCCCCCAGGGAACCAGACGCAGCCCGAACAGGAAGGAACTCATCATTGAGCTGAGCAATTGCTCAGCCTGCACGCCTAACTTCAGGCGCCGAAGGGCTCTCGGCGCTTCCATGCCCAAAGACCACAGGACCCCAGTCACCCCCGACGCCCCCCCACTCCCAGACCTCAGAGACATCAGGAGGGGATGGAGGCTGGATAGACAGTTTCGGGATACATAACTTAGACGCAGGCCTTCAAAGTCGGGATCCAACGAAGGCGCGGTGTCCAATCGCTCGCAGAGCATCCCGATGAGAAGCGCGTCGCTCACGGAGGACCTCAAAACCCCCGACCTGTTCGCTCTCGCCGGGGCGCAGCAGAGCAGGACAGTCACTCCACGCATGCCCGTAGGATCCATCATTCGACTGACAGGCGGTACAGTGTGGGCGAATGTTATTGCCCCAAGCTCCTCGCAGCCCACCAGGGCTGGCGCAAGGGAGCACCAGCAGCCGCGCACGGCCCTGGGGGCCCTCCAGGGCACCTCAGCGCCCGCCCCCCACACCGCTGATACACGAGGAGCACCAAACGGGCCAAAGGAACACGCCTTCTCAGACAGGCAAGGTTGAGGGATGGTAGAGGAGACCAGAAGCATACACATCAGCAGCAACCAGGAGGTTGAATTCGACCAGCTGCTGAACGAGTGCCAGCTGGACCCGACCGCGCGGGCAGATTATGCACTGCTGTCGGCGGCAAACCTCGTAGCTCCATGCAGGGCCAAAAGTCTGCTCCAACTTTTGCCATCTCCACCGGGTGCTGCGATATCCTGGAGGCTGAACGAGCTGGTCGGTCAGGACAACCACCCCAAATTCGGTGGGAATCAACCGATCTCGATCCGCAATTGCACTTATTACTTCCCGCGAAATTCCTCTCCCAATATGTCATGTTTTCAGGCAGGCGCCCCCAAGTACCTACCATCATTGTAGCGAGCAGGGCATGACTGTTTGGAAGGCGGCTTGACTTACGTGGACTGGCAAACTGAAGTCGGGTGTCGATGGTGTCGGCCCCGCTTTCCGTCACCGTGTTTGGCGTTATGTGCATTATCCTGCGACTTTCTTCCAAATCTTGGCTTGAACCTTGAGCAATGTTTGTTCCAAGCGCTCGAAGCCAATTGGCGAAGGTCAGCGCAAGGTGCATGCAAATCATCTCGGGCTTTGAGCTGCGGCCGATGGATTTCCAAAGCTGGGTCCTTACAGAAAAGATCAGGAAGGACGTCGTCCATCTTCCTGGCCGTGGGACCGCAGGCCTGCGCGGTCTTAGATGGGGGCTCCCCGTGGGCCTTTGCGCCGTGCGTGAGGGTTGGCATGGCACCATAGGTCAGCATGGTCCTACGTGCTCTTGTCGCAACTTTCGGGGCTTCTTTCCCGAGGTGTGCACGCGTGTATGTGCTCTTTCCTGCGAGCAGTGTGTGCGCCAGATGTCCTCAGCCAGCCTGTGAATGCCTATATCCTGAACAGAAATTGTTTTTTTTCTGCTGGCGTCATGCTGACTCCCATATGTCTCAGCTTGCTTGTGATACACTTGGTAAGGCCAACCAGACTTGAGTTCAACGCTGTTGTAGGCCTAAAGAAAACCTTCCCTATCCAAATGTTGTGCTAGAGCTGCCGTAATGACGATGATATTGAGCACTCTGCAAACCGCGGCCCTGGCCATCTTGTTGGCGCGCCTGGATCCTGCCAGCAGGGATGTTGGCGTGGCAGCGCAAGCCAAGTGCGCCTTGCTGGCGAAGGAGCCCAGGCACGCAATGCTCCAGAAGCTCCAACGCCAGGAGCCCCTTGGGGAAACCAGGGCGTGCACTCCGAGGACGCCGGGGCCCAGCAAGAGCAGTGCGATGCCCGCCAGGCGCACCGCCAACGCCACTGACAAGTCATTTGCCGCCCCCATCCTCGATCCTCACGCCTCAACCGATCCTCGATCCTCGAACCTCGATCTTTGACGACGGGGGGGACAGCCTGGGCGCCCCCAGGCCCAACCTTCAGCAGGTCGGCCTTGCCGCTGCCGTTCCGCCCGAGTACAGCGACGAAGGAGCCCTGGTGCAACTCGGCGATGCCTCCTGGCTCGCCAGCCGGCCGGCACCGAAGAGCAAGCGGCGCCAGCGGTGCGCGGGTGACTTATAATCGAAGTTAGGAGGTAAGGTCCACTGTGGGTTTGGAAGGGGCTTGCTCGATCTTCCGAGGGCCCTTTGATTAGCTGTTCTGTTCCACTCTTCGTGCATCTAGGCGAAACTGAAGCCTGAAAGGTGGTTTGTTCCTTATCCAAGACTCGTGCGGCAAAACTATGACTGCACGGACAGACCATGATGACCACCCTGGGGCTCTACACACCGATCCATGAATCCCTCCCCGCCTTCCTCCTTCCTTCTCATCCCTTTCTACCCTCCTCAGAGCTCATTATCCTCCTACACCCGCCCACTCCACCCTTCTCCCGCCTCACTGTGCCCAGCATGGGCGGGGTCGAATCTGGTGTCAATGAAAACTGACGCTCGTCGAGACAACGTCCAAAACCCGCTTGACGTTCCAACCCAAGCGGCGCCGAGGGGCGGGGCTGACGACCAGCGTCGGAGGAAAAGGTGAAGGAGGAGGAGGAAGACGACAAGCGAGAGAGTCAGGCCAGAAACCAATTTGGATGTCAGGCGGGTCATCTCTATACGCGCGAAGCGCTGGGATATTGAGTACATTAGGAGGGCGATGAGGACGAGGAGGCTGATGGAGGAGAAGGAAGAGGAGGAGGAGGCGCAGGAGGAGGAGGAGGAGCGGGAGGATCGCCTCCAACTACCCTTGATGACGAGATCAGTGTTCCGATGTAAGGCAGGTCGCGCCTGTTGCCCAGCAGCGGACTCTCCCATGCACAACGCCATGCAGCATGAGGGCCAACATTACACATTGTGGCGTGGCCTGTGTCCGAGCAGGATGCAGCAGGAGAGCCCATCACACTCACGACCGAAAAAACAATAAGTAATGCATGTGCACGCGCATCCTCCACGGCCAAATCGGCGACTTCCCAGACTACGTCATCACGAATCAGCCTGCCTCCTGGCAGGCGCGACACCAGCGTGGCCCATTTGCGAATTTCTTACGGGGAACGTGTGTTCCCTCCACGCCCATGATGGTGTCTCAAGGGATAACATTTGCGTTTCGAACACCGTATTCGCGAAGACATGCTCACCGCCGTGTGGCGCCACATACAGCATGTTTTGTTTCGATCATGTTCTCACTAGGCGCGCGCGCGGGCTCGCGCGGGTGCGTCAAAGATGCACCGCGAACGCGACCCTGGCCTCCACCATCGAGGCGATCATATCCCCAGTCAGCGTCCCCACGAGTAACTGCAAGGGGGCTTTCGTGCACGTATGCCCCAGGCACATCGGGGCCTTATACAGGTGGACATCACGATCAGCTCTTTGCCGAAGATCTGCCCTCCGCCTCGGAGATCCAGGTGCAGCGTGGAGCACTGTTGCTACATCTCCGTGCTTCGAGTGCGCCCGCCCAGCGTCGTCTGTGAGGTCCCCAGAAAAAGGGCCAGGCAAGCCACATATGATCGATCCTGGATCCTCGGGCCCCCTTCCATGCCACCGTCCGGTCGACACACGCCGGCGCAGGTGGGCATGCCAGACCGCAGCACCGACACTTTCCTGCCGCAGCGCCCCAAGATGGGGATCGGCAGCCTTAGGAGCCCACCGCCGCGCGGGCGCCCCCGCGGCGCGCCGCCCCGAGGGCGGTTGCGGCGGCGGCGCCCTCGCGACTGGCGGCAGGCCGCCCAGCAGGATCGCCTGCTGCACGCAGGGCGCTGGACATCTTGGCTAGTTTCTCGGCGTGGACCCGCTGCCGGTCACCCCATATCCCACCGCGACACCCAGGAGGAGGAAGGACATACTGAAGGAAGGGAGGAAGAAAGGAAGGATGGAAGGAGGAGGGAGGGAGGAGGGAAAGACGAGGGAGGAGGGATAGAGGAGGGAGGATGAGGGAGGGGAAAGAAATGGAAAACGGAGGGAGGAAAGGAAAGAGGGAAGGAACTATCCTTGGGTGTTGAAACGCCGCGGGGTAAGCCCCGCGCCGTATGCCAACACCCCGCAGCGCCTACAGGACGCGCAGGGAGCCCGCAGGCCGAGAAAGGGCCCGCAGGCCAAGGAGGGACCCGCAGGCCAGGGAGGGGCCCGCAAGTCGGGGAGTGACCCGTGGAGCAGGACGAGGAAGGGATGGTGGAGCAACGCGGGTGGTCACTATGCAGCCACCGCGCCCATTTCGGCATACCCGTCTCACGGATTGTGCCCCGCAGGAGCTCCACCTATGACTCCAGGGGGGGAACTCGCCTCCGCATCCGCCTCGGGAGTTTATGCCGCGAACGACGGCCAGGCCCTCAGGGAGAACCCGCGTGTGCCCTGGGCTCTAGTAGGAGGCAAACATCACCCTGGGCACATGCACATCACAGCCACGAACACATCGAACCCTGAGACACAAAACTAGCTATACCACCACCGCCACCGCAGTGCACGCTGCACGACGTTTGCGTGATTCTGCGCAGGGGCCTGACATTGATCTTATCAGACACGCAGGCGCCAAGCCAGAAGGCAGCAAGCACGGTTGTGGAGCGGGAAGAAATGAGTGAGGAACAAAAACAAGAGAGGACACCTAATTACACCAGGGGGGAATTATGGGGGGTGGGGGTGGAGGGAAGGGGGGATATAGGGGGGAAATCATCTCACACGCCTGGAGGCCCCAAGGGGTCCGCGGATATATCCTCACCCGATTTTACCCTCGTCCTGGCTTCGTCTTAGGCAAACACGGGGGGACACCCACACCACGACTGCCACATCACCGCACCGACAAAGAGTACTGCCCCGGCTGCTAGGGGCGTGGGGGCGGCTGGCCTGCATCAGTAGGCGACAAGCCGAACATGAGACCGAACTATAGAACCGTCAGCCGCCCCCGCGGCGTCAGCGTAGGATCACCGCCAAGCTCGAATGCAGCCCACCAAATACAAAAGACCATGTCGATACCGTCAAAATTTTGATGATTCACCCCTTCCTCAAACTCCCCCACTACGTGCGGCATCACTCAGCAACACCACAATTGCGCCCGCAACCGAAACAAAGGGGCGCAAAGAGGGTGGCCACATCAGCGGTAGCGCAGGGCACCTACTTGGTGCATTTTGACAGCCCGACTTGTTAGGTGCCACCAAAGCACACGACAAGAAAGCCCAGAACTGGATTCCGGCGACACAGGGTGAATCACAAACCTGTTATGACGTCCACTTCTGCCAAATCCCTTTCACGCGCACGAATCCGCAACGCCCATCTCGGACGTCGTGCTTTCACCGAGGGAAGCGTAGGGACACCAATGGAAACATTCGCCTAAGCACACGCCACACTCGGCCCAAATGTCGACGCGCGTTGACCAAACGATTCGCCGGTCTACCCACCGAATCCGCAGCTGACCCCGAGGCCCCAGCTGGAGCCGAGGCCCCCACGGTCGAAAGAGCCGAAGCTCCAACCACCTCCGCGGCGTGGTGGTTCCAGGGAGGGTGTGCTCTCCCCGGCCTCAGCAACCTTGAGTGCTTAGAGGATGCCCGACCCGAGCACAATCAAGAGGGCACCAGCAGGGCAGCATCGACCATACCCATACCATTTAGCACACCAAGGGGCACCCCGAATGTGGTTTGGATTAGCCGCGTCCATTGCCGTCATGACCCTAAGCACGCCTTCCTTAGGCCCAAGAGGGGCACAAGGCACCAATCGGGGCCCACAGTGCGGTTCACCAATAGCCCAAGCAGATGAACTCGCATGGCACCGCCGCGCCGATTTCGACACACACACACACACACACGCGCACACACGCGCACACACACGCACACACACAAACACCAGAACTTGAAAACACACACATATATATATATAGAAAACCAGAAGCACATCATCACAGAAACAAAGAAACACCGAAACACCGAAACACAAACACACAGAAACACCGAAACATCGTAACACCGAAACACGGAAACACAGAAACACAGAAACACGAAAACACAAAAACACAGAAACACTGAAAGACCCGCACCCGCACCCGCACCCGCACCGGTACTGGCACTGGCACCGGCACCCGCACCCGCACCCGCACCGGCACTGGCACTGGCACCGGCACCGGCACCGGCACCCGCACCGGCACCGCACAGCACCGCACCGACCACATCACATCACATCACATCACATCACATCACATCACATCACATCACATCACATCACATCACATCACATCACATCACCACACCACTCCACACCATACACACACCTCACGCGGATCGTGCCCCATGGGATGCTCCACCTACGGCCTCAGAGGGGAGCTCGTAGCTAGTATAGCGTTGCCCCGGCCAGTTTGGCACACCCTCACACGTTTGAGGGGCATCAGGGGGTAAAAAGAGGCGGAGGTGGAGAAGGGGATGACAAGTAGCCAGGAGGGAGCGGTCCCGAGGGACCACGTCAGGCATGACCGAAACTCCCCCGAGCTTTCAGCCCGAAGGCCGTTGCTGAGCTTGATCTGGAACGGCAGACTGTCCGCGGCAATCATCACGGGGCCAACTCCCTTGCCGTGGGACTTGTCCTCCTGGGAAGCGACGCTGGCGGAGGAAATGAAGGCAAGGGCGCAGAGAAGAGGGATGCTGGAGCATGTGTCACAATCTATCGGGCGCGCCGCTTACGGAGGTCCTCCTGCTGCTCGAGCTCCTCCTGCTCTTGTCCTCCTCCTCCTCCTGTTCCTGCCCTCCTCCTACCACAGCGGAGGGTGACCCCGTCCTGCTCCTCCTCCTCCTCCTCATCCTCATGCTGCTAATGCTGCTCGTCGCCCTACTCCCCGTCCCCCTCCTGCTCGTGCGCCTGTGCTCCTCCTCCTGCTCCTGTCCTTCCTGCTACAATGGGGAGGTGACCCCGTCCTCCTGCTAGTGCTGCCCGTGCGTTGACGTCGACCTCCTGCGCCTGTCGCCGCACGCAGGCTGCCTGACATGACGTGAGGGGTGGGCGACACCCCACAAGGGGAGAGGCCTCTGGGCCTCGGTGGCCGACACGTCAAAAGGGGAGAGGCGAACGACACCCCAAAAGAGGAAAGATCTCTGGAAACGACAAGGCAATTACTTTACCGGTTCTGTTTTCACGCTTCTGCGGGTTCCAGCGCAATGTGTTTCCCGCTTCCGTCGCCATTTTTTTTTTTCATTCGAGGCACGGCGGCCGAGAACTCCTGCGGCAGGCAGCATCGTGCAATCGACTAAGCCTTTGGGTCGAAAAGAGCGGGCCTACGTGACGCCGACAGGAACAATCGGTTCGAAATGCTCTGCCAAACGTCCCGCCGCCGCTTCCAGCCCACACCGGGGACTCCGCTGTCGGCCAGAACACCTCCCTCCAACCCCGCAGTTCCACTCCTGCTCTTCCCCACCTTCCACCGTCATTCACATCCACCGCCCCTCGCCGCGGCTGCAGATCGCGCGTAGCAGACCACAGGCGGTAGCGGGGAGGAAAAGGAGGAAGGATGATTAAGAAGAGGAAGGAGGTTGGAGGTCTCGGGAATGCCCACACAAAACGTGATCGTTCTTCGAGCCCGCGTTATTCGAGCCCAGAGGTCTTAGAATAACTACTCACCCCGAAATATGGCCCTCTCGCCTTTCATTGAAATGCACTTCTCTGAGCCGAGCAATCTCCTCAGTGATCATAATTGGGTCCGCCGTCTTTTCGTATAGGTTGTCGTTCGCTTCCCACTCGGGCTCCAGTGTGAGTTGCAGGAGCCGCAAGCACAGTCGGTCCATCTTGGAATTCTTGCGTAAGATATACGCCTTGACCGTCTTGAACATCTTGGACAACTCACTGCGTCTCCACTCCTCCATGGGCGTGTCGCCTGTCGGTGGTTCCAGCCGGAAGTACTTGCATGATTTTATCAAATCGGGTCTGCTTGCGATAACTTGCTTCACCGTATGGTGTGTTTTGGAAGAGTTAGTGGCAAGGTCAATCATGGTGTCCAACCAACAGAAGACACTGTTACCAACGTTTGGGTTTCGCAATACCTTGCCGCATCCCAGCGAGACAATGCAACCGATCGGGCGGTCAGGGAAAATAATTGCAGCCTCGATGATAGCATTAAGAGTCGGATTGTTTGCCGCCGCACCACCATCGACAAGCTCCATATCCTCAAAGTCCACCTTCTGGAAGTACGTCGGCGCAGCAGTTGTGGCCCTGCAACATACCCGCAGAGGTGCGTGGCCAGAACCATCCTCGTAAATCATCGCAGCAGCACCGGGGAGATCGGATTCTTCAGGATCACTACGAGCATAATTGCGCAGATGGTAAGAATTCCACTGACCCCGTTCATCAGCACGCGCCGCGACGCAGAAGCAGTGAGGCACCCGACTGTCTTCCTTGAGGAGACCTTCGCTGCAAGGGCGTTGCACCTCCTGCTCCCAGATCTTCTTCGTGGCATCTGGCAATCCCTCGGCCATATCCACAACTTGCTCGACGAGATGACTTGGCACCCTCTGCCCAAAGCGAAGCATCTGCATTGTCGAACCTTGGCTGAACAACTTCTCTCCGATTATGTGCATGATCTCCTCCGCGTTCCGGAAACCACCAGACAGCTGGGTGGTAATGCAGAGACTGATGGCCCCGCCAGCACTCGTGCCCACGACGAGGTCGAACAAATCACTAATGGGCAGCCCACAGCGGGCCTCAATCGACCTTAACATTTCAATAAGGCATAGCCCTTTCATCCCACCGCCGTCCAAGCTGAGTATGCGGACGGGCGCCTTCAATGTGTTCATGCTTTGGTCCGTTTCTGGTTGACGGCTCGATGTTTCGATCAAGGCGGCTTCCGCGCGGAATTTGCGCCTGGCGAAGTCCTGCGTTGCTCCACTTGCGGTAGAATCATCGGAGCGCCGAGAGGTCACAGATTTCCCAGAGAAGCGCGTACTCGGAATATGTGCCATACTGAATAAGCGAGAGGTCGGCGTGGCTGCCGACGACTCAGTCACTTCGCCCTTGTGCACATCACAAATGTTTCTCCTAAAGTGCGTTCGCGCTTGCTCGCCAAGTAGTTGCACCGAGACCAGGGCGAGGCGCAAAAGAATCAATATCACGCGCCAAGAGGCCAATGCGCAATCAAAGACGGGGCCGTCTCCAAGACAGCGACCGTAGAAGAAGTAGAGTATTGATACGATGATGAGCGCTATGTCTGTCATGATGTGAATAGTGGGAATAACCTTGAACACAGTGTGTTTTTCTGACTTTTGCATTGCGCTCAGCTTCAGGTCGATGCATACCAGAGGGCAAACAAGACGATCCATGACCGCCGCCATCCAGTGCAGGACAAACAGAGGGACGCTATCAAATGAGTACAGCCAACGACGTGGATCCTCAATCTCACCTTCCGAACTCAGCTTTCCATAAACCGCGAGCCAGATGCAACGAAAGAGCAAATTACACAGAAGTATAAGTATCGCTCCTCGGGTTCGAACACCTGGCATTGTCACAACGCGCATCAAGGCCATCCAAACCCTACTCATAACCTCATAACGCCGATTGGACCAACGCCGAAACTCAAGCTGAAGAGTTCCGACATTGCTGTAAACGCCTGAAATGTAACCGCAGTACAAGAACACGGGTGCATGGAGTATGGCAACAGTGGTCCCGATGAACGATGTAGTGTAGCCCAAGGTGCCAACAGTGAGCAGAGCAATCAAGTTTGCGCAAAATAACATGGCACCAGGTATCGATGCATCCGCAACAATGCTGATGTTTTCACGTCCTGATACCATGGCTTCCGATGACGAGTTCTTCGTCTGCGATGCTTCTGGACTGGCTGCACAAGACGCAGCGACCCACCTGGAGCCTTTGGTCATATGCACGTACCCCCTGTAGAAGGCGGTGGCCCAGTTCAGCGTGCCCAGCGCGACGCCTAACGTATACATCACTGCGAACGCATTCTTCGGCGTGTCTTGTACCGTTCGAGTAAAGGCAGCATTTGCCAAGACGACGCAAAAAGCTTAAGTTAGCCATACCAGCACTGGCCGCAACTTGAACAGGACGTGCCGCACACGAACCTCTTCGTACATCATCGTACGGGCTCCGAATAAAGCGGACGTGAGCACTTACGTTTACGTACACCCAGTTTGAGCCAGATGGCGTGGCTTGAGCCAAAATGGCTACGGATTCCGTCGCCGTTGTTTTTTCTTGCATGTGTTCCCTACCTAGGCTCTGCCTAGAGGGTTCTTACTCTCTTTCTTAAAGGGGCCAGGCAGTGGAAACCGCCCCGGGCGGTTCCCCCGGTATCCGCCCCGCGGTTCCCCCAGTTACATCCCCTTAGCTTAGCATTGCGTATCTCATCTTAGCTTAGCGTATTTCATCTTAGCTTAGCTTAGCTTTATCGTAACTCAGGTTTATCTTAACTAAGCTTACCTTCATCGTAGCTACGCTGAGCTTTAGCATAGCAGAGCACAGCATAGCATAGCGCAGCATAGCATAGCATAGCATAGCCCAGCATAGCATAACATAGCGCAGCATATCATAGCATAGCATAACATAGCGCAGCACAGCACAGCACAGCATAGCACAGCGCATAGCACAGCGCATAGCATAGCATAGTTTGCATAGCATATCATAGCGCAGCACAGCATAGCATAGCTCAGCATAGCATATCATATCATAGCCTAACATAGCATAGCATAGCGCAGCATAGCATAGCATAGCCTAGCCTAGAACCGCAAGGTCTCAAATGATCTGCGTTGCCCCTACCTCCGCCGTGATTCCCAGGAGCCCACGACAGTGGGGACAATCACTCTCTTTGCAACCCCCGACGGAACCACGAGGTCTCAAATCGATCTGCGTGGCCTTCACCTCCACAATGCATCCCAGGAGCCCACGAAAATGTCGACGGTTGCGCAATTCGCAGCCGCCGAAGGAGCCGCGAAGTCTCAAATGCTCTGCGCTGCTCACACCTCTGCCGTGCCTACCAAAACCGACGAAACTTGCGACAATTGCGCAATTGCCAAGCCCCCGAGAGAGCCGCGAGGTCATAAATGACCTGCGCTGCGCTGCCCACACCTCCGGCGTGCCCCCAGGAGCCCACGAAAGTAGCGAGCAAGTGAAACACCGCGGTTTCACCATTCAATTTTCGAAGTTACATGGGCCATGCCCAAAGAAGGATCACATGGCGCACGCAGGCGCGTGCGCGCGGGGAATGAGAAACATGCGTTGTGCCATAATACAGCACATCATGCTGAGGCCAAGAACGCGAATTGAATAACTGGCTTCAACCATTCAGACTTAGAGGTCCAACTGACCATTCTCAACTGATGTTCGCACGGCGCACGCGCGCACGCGCAATAAAACCAATGTAGTGTGTCACAATACGTCATATAATGTTGAGACCTAGGATGCGGATTAAACAAGTTGCTTCCATGATTCAACTTTTGAGATCAACTTGGTCACTGATGAATATTCGGCTGATAAACTTGAAAAACTGGCAATCACTCAGGGTTGTTCCCCAAGCGCGACGAATCTGTCTGCGGGGCTCGTGAATCTGACGTGGGAGCGCTGGGGCATTCAGGGCGCATGCCTGATACTCCAAGA